GCCTGGATGGGGGGCGCCCCCTGAGGCCCTTTCGCCACCGCTCAGAGGAGAGCGCTCTGCACACGCTCAGGTTCCGAGTTAGGGAAGGGGAGGAGCAGGGGGGCCCGCCCATCTCCCCTCCCCGGCCCCTCCCCCCCCCCCTCTCTCTGCCTGTCAGCCAGGCCCCCGGTGGCGCAGTGGGTCCTGTGCCGGCAGGACTGAAGACCGGACTACTGACAGAAAGGCCAGTGGTTCGAATCCTGGGAGAGGCGATGAGCTCCCTCTATCAGCTCCAGCTCCTCATGCGGGGACATGAGAGAAGCCTCCCACAAGGATGATAAAAACATCAAATCATCCGGGCGTCCCCTGGGCAACGTCCTTGCAGACGGACAATTATTATTATTATTATTATTATTATTATTATTATTATTAAACTTTATTTGTACCTTGCTAGCATCTCCCGAAGGACTCGATGCGGCTTACAAAGGCCAAGGCCTCAACACAATAACAACAAACAATAACAATGCAGCAAATTAAAAACATAAGCAATAACACAACAAAACATTACACTATTACACAATAAAATCAGGGCCGGGCCAATGATGGGTACAGGTTAAAAAGTGCTGGGTGTGTGAGGTGGTATGTTGGAGTTCTGGGCAAGTGCAATGTGCAGAGAGAATTAAACTCTAATAAAGTGCTTCTGGGACATAGTGCTGGAGTTATCCTATTCTGGGAAGGCACATCGGAATAGCCAGGTCTTCAAGTTCTTCCTAAAGACTGCCAATGTGGGTGCTAGTCTAATGTCTTTGGGGAGGGTGTTCCAGAGTCAGGGGGCAACCACAGAGAAGGCCCTGTCCCTCATCCCCACCAAACGCGCCTGTGACGCAGGTGGGGTCGCGAGCAGGGCCTCTCCGGATGAACGAAGGGAGCGCGTGGGTTCAGTGCTAAAAGATGCATATTTTTTTCTAAAAGACAAGTCAATCTCACACATCCTCATCCTTTGCAAAGAAAATATTCTGACTCTGAAAATCCTGAATGAATTTTAGCAGGGCCTCTCCGGATGAACGAAGTGAGCGCGTGGGTTCGTAGACGGAGATGCGGTCACGCAGGTAGGCAGGTCCCAAACCGTTTAGGGCTTTGTAGGTAAGCACCTGCACCTTGAATTGGGCTTAGTAGGTAAATGGCAGCCAATGGAGCTCCTTAAACAGGAGGGTTGACCTCTCTCTGTAAGGAGCGCCAGTTAACATCCTGAACCAGTTGGAATTTCCGAGCCGTTTTCAAGGGCAGTCCCACGTAGAGCGCATTGTTGTTGTTCAGTCGTTCAGTCGTCTCCAACTCTTCATGACCTCATGGACCAGCCCATGCCAGAGCTCCCTGTCGGCCGTCACCATCCCCAGCTCCTTCAAGGACAAGCCAGTCACCTCAAGGATGCCATCCATCCATCTTGCCCTTGGTCGGCCCCTCTTCCTTTTGCCTTCCACTTTCCCCAGCATAATTGTCTTCTCTAGGCTTTGCTGTCTCCTCATGATGTGGCCAAAGTACTTCAACTTTGTCTCTAGTATCCTTCCCTCCAATGAATAGTCGGGCTTTATTTCCTGGAGGATGGACTGGTTGGATCTTCTCGCAGTCCAAGGCACTCTCAGAACTTTCCTCCAACACCACAGCTCAAAAGCATCGATCTTCCTTCGCTCAGCCTTCCCTAAGGTCCAGCTCTCACATCCGTAGGTTACTACAGGGAATACCATGGCTTTGACTAGGCGGATCTTTGTTGCCAATGTGATGTCTCTACTCTTTACTATTTTATCGAGATTGGACATTGCTCTCCTCCCAAGAAGTAAGTGTCTTCTGATTTCCTGGCCACAGTCTGCATCTGCAGTAATCTTTGCACCTAGAAATACAAAGTCTGTCACGGCCTCCACATTTTCTCCCTCTATTTTCCAGTTGTCAATCATTCTTGTTGCCATAATCTTGGTTTTTTTGATGTTTAGCTGCAACCCAGCTTTTGCGCTTTCTTCTTTCACCTTGATTAAAAGGCTCCTCAGCTCCTCCTCACTTTCGGCCATCAGAGTGGTGTCATCTGCATATCTGAGGTTGTTAATGTTTCTTCCAGCAATTTTCACCCCAGCTTTGCATTCATCCAGCCCCGCACATCGCATGATGTGTTCTGCATACAAGTTAAAAAGGTTGGGTGAGAGTATGCAGCCTTGCCAGACGCCTTTCCCAATCTTGAACCAGTCTGTTGTTCCGTGGTCAGTTCTGACTGTTGCTACTTGGTCCTTGTACAGATTCCTCAGGAGAGAGACAAGGTGGCTTGGTATGCCCATCCCACCAAGAACTTGCCACAATTTATTATGATCCACACAGTCAAAGGCTTTAGAGTAGTCAATGAAGTAGAAGTAGATGTTTTTCTGAAACTCCCTGCCTTTCTCCATTATCCAGCGGATATTGGCAATCTGGCCAATGCATGGAAGTGGAAGAAGACAACAGAATAGGAAGGACAAGAGACCTCTTCCAGAAAATTAGAAACATTGGAGGTAAATTTCAGGCAAAAATTGGTATGATAAGAAACAAAGATGGCAGGGACCTAACAGAAGCTGAAGACATCAAGAGAAGGTGGCGAGACTATACAGAAGATCTGTATAGGAAGGATAATAATATCGAGGATAGTTTTGACGGTGTGGTGAATGAATTAGAACCAGACATCCTGAGGAGTGAGGTTGAATGGGCCTTAAGAAGCATTGCTAACAACAAGGCAGCAGGAGACGACGGGATCCCAGCTGAACTGTTTAAAATCTTAAAAGATGATGCTGTCAAGGTGATGCATGCCATATGCCAGCAAATATGGAAAACACAAGAATGGCCATCAGACTGGAAAAAATCCACTTATATCCCCATACCAAAAAAGGGAAATGCGAAAGACTGCTCAAACTTCCGTACAGTGGCCCTTATTTCTCATGCCAGTAAGGTAATGCTCAAGATCCTGCAAGGAAGACTCCAGCAATACATGGAGCGAGAGTTGCCAGATGTTCAAGCTGGGTTTAGAAAAGGCAGAGGAACGAGAGACCAGATTGCCAACATCCGCTGGATAATGGAGAAAGGCAGGGAGTTTCAGAAAAACATCCTGATATTGGATATTTACAAGATGATTCATAACAGGAGCAAAATTATAGTTGTGAAGTAGCAACAAAAATAAATTGATGGTTGGGGGTCACCACAACATAAGGAACTGTATTAAGGGGTCACGGCATTGGGAAGGGGTCACGGCATTGAGAACCACTGGTTTAGGGCTTTGTAGGTAAGCACCTGCACCTTGAATTGGGTTTGGTAGGTAAACGGCAGCCAGTGGAGCTCCTTGAACAGGAGGGTTGACCTCTCTCTGTAAGGAGCGCCAGTTAACATCCTGGCCGCCGCCCGTTGGACCAGTTGGAATTTCCGAGCCGTTTTCAAGGGCAGCCCCATGTAGAGCGCATTACAGTAGTCCAATCTAGAGGTGACCAAGGCATGGACCACCCCGGCCAAATCAGCCTTTGCGAGGTACGGTCGCAGCTGGCGCACGAGTGGGAGTTGTAGTTGCAGGGATTTATTATTATTATTATTAAACTTTATTTGTACCCCGCTAGCATCTCCCGAAGGATTCGATGCCGCTTACACAGGCCGAGGCCTCAACACACAACACAATCAATCTAAGAAATCAAACAATTAAAAACAGAATAAAGCAAAATAAACAACAGGCACAATACAGTAAACACAATAAAACTGGGCTGGACCAGAGAATGGGTACAAGATTAATAGTGCTGATGTGACAGGAGGTGTATATAGGGCTTCTAGGGCAAGTGCGATGTGCAGCAATCATTGGTTCTGATAAAGTGCTTATGGGACTTGGTGGTGGAGATTTCCTAATCTGGGAAGGCGCATCGGAAAAGCCAGGTCTTCAAGTTCTTTCTGAAGACAGCCAATGTAGGGGCCTGTCTAAGGTCTTTGGGGAGGGTGTTCCAGAGTTGGGGGGCCACCACGGAAAAGGCCCTGTCCCGCGTCCCCACCAAGCGCGCTTGTGACGCCGGTGGGATCACGAGCAGGGCCTCTCCAGATGACTGAAGTGAATTCTTAGCTGTGCAAAAGCCCTCCCTCTCTCACACCAGAAGCGACTTGCAGTTTCTCAGATCGCTCCTGACAGGACCAAAAAAAAAACCAACAAGCCAGGCCCCGCCCACCTTCCCTCAGCCCCTGCCCCTCCCTCCTTCTCCTCCCTCTGAGGCTCCTCCCCCTCCTTTTCTTTCTGAGCCTTCCCGAGAGGAGGCCCCGCCCATATCCCCTCCTTGGCCCCTCCCTTCCTTCTGCCTGTCAGCCAGGCCCCGCCCACTCCTCCCTCTGAGGCTCCTCCCCCTCCTTTTCTTTGTCTGTTCCCGAGAGGAGGCCCCGCCCATCCCCTCCTCCTCCCCTCCCTTTCCTCTCTGCCTGTCAGCCAGGCCCCGCCCACCTCCTCCCTCTGGCCTAAAAGGAGGGGGAGGAGCCTCAGAGGGAGGAGGTGGGCGGGGCCTGGCTGACAGCCTTTTCTTTCTGAGTCCTGTTCCCGAGAGGAGGCCCCGCCATCCCCTCCTTGGCCCTCCCTTTCCTCTGCCTGTCAGCCAGGCCCCGCCCACCTCCCCCTGGCCCCTCCCTCCTCCTCCCTCTGAGGCTCCTCCCCCTCCTTTTCTTTCTGAGTCTGTTCCCGAGAGGAGGCCCCGCCCAACTCCCCTCCCTGACCCCTCCCTTTCTCTCTGCCTGTCAGCCAGGCCCCGCCCACCTTTCCTCCCCTCCTCGCGCTCCTTTCTCTAAAGCTCTTTTTCTTTCTCTGTTCCCGCCCATCTTTCACCTCTCTGGCCCCTCCCCTTGCCGCTCCCTCCGAGGCTCCTCCTCGTTTTCTCTGTTTCCAAGAGGAGGCTCCGCCCACCTTTGGTCGTTCTCTCCCTGGCCCCGCCCCCTGAATGCCCCTCCTCCTTTCTCTCTCTCTCTGCCCCTGAGGGAGTGTGGGGGAGGCCCCGCCCACTTTCCCTCAGAAGCCCCTCCCCCTCCTGCCCCTCCCTCCTCCTTTCTCTCTCTCTCTCTCTCTCTCAGTCTGTTGGCGGTCCTCCTCCACTTCGGCTGCTGCTGCTGCTGCTGCTTCTGCAGGAAACAGGTTTGGCTCTGGGTTGAAAGGGGAGGGAAGGGAGTCAGGCAGGCCCCCTCCCCATTACAACCCCCTCTCTATGGAAAGGAGGGACTGCTTGTTGCTTTGGGGAGGGAAAGGGGGGGCTCAACATGGAGCCAGATGCGGGAGGGGGCTTTTATGGGAAACGGAAGAGGAAGCATCCCTTTTCACACACCTCTATGCATTCTCTGAGACCCCCCTCCCCAAGGATTAGGATCCTCATCCTCAGCATTGTCATCTTATCACTCTTGGTATCCATTCATCCTCATCATTGATTTCTACCCCCAAAGGAGAATCAAAGCGGCTTCACATCAAAGCGTCAATCAGCCCACCCTTTAAAATAGACACATTATCATCATCATCATTGTTATCATATCAACATTATTGCCGGCAGGTCGCAGGTTCAAATCAGGGGAGATGCGGATGAGCTCCCTCTATCAGCTCCAGCTCCTCATGCGGGGACATGAGAGAAGCCTCCCACAAGGATGATAAAACATCAAAAAAATCATCCGGGCGTCCCCTGGGCAACGTCCTTGCAGACGGCCAATTCTCTCACAACAGGATGCTCCTGACACGACAACCCCCCCCCCCAAAACATTATTATCATTAGGTTCTTGTGGGTTTTTTCGGGCTATAGGCATTCTCTCCTGACGTTTCGCTTGCATCTATGGCAAGCATCCTCAGAGGAGAAACGTCAGGAGAAATGCCTCTAGAACATGGCCCTATAGCCTGAAAAAACCCACAAGAACCTAGTGATTCCAGCCATGAAAGCCTTCGACAATACATTATTATCATTATATCAACATTGTTTTTTATTGTCATTATTATTACATTATCACTATAATTATTATTATATTATATTTATCATTATTGTGATCATTATTATGATATTGATCTTTATTTCTACCTGCCAAAGGAAACTCAAAGCAGCTTAGCACCAAAGCGTCAAACAGCCAGTCAGCCTACAATTTAAAATATACAATTCATATTATTAAATAAAATAAAAAAAACTTTATAACACTCCTAAAGGTATTATCATTACCATTATACCAACATCATTATATTATTAAGACCATCTGGATGGATGGCCATCTGTTGGGGGTGCTCTGAATACAATTTTCCTGCTTCTTGGCAGGAATGGCCTACAACAGGGGTACTCTTGGTATCCATTCATCCTCATCATTATTATATTGATTTCCACCCCCGAAGGAGAATCAAAGCGGCTTCACATCAAAGCGTCAATCAGCCCACCATTTAAAATAGACACATTATCATCATCATCATCAGCATCATCATCATCATCATCATCATTGTTATCATATCAACATTATTATCGTTATATCAACATTGTTTTTATTATCATTATTATTATATTATCACTATAATAATTATTATATTATATTTATCATTATTGTGATCGTTATTATGATATTGATCTTTATTTCTACCTGCCAAAGGAAACTCAAAGCAGCTTGACACCAAAGCGTCAAACAGCCAGTCAGCCTACAATTTAAAATATGCAATTCATATTATTAAATAAAATTTAAAAAAAACTTTATAACACTCCTTATGTCCCCTAAAGGTATTATCATTACCATTATATCAACATCATTATATTATTAAGACCATCTGAATGGATGGCCATCTGTTGGGGGTGCTTTGAATACAATTTTCCTGCTTCTTGGCAGGAATGGCCTACAACAGGGGTACTCTTGGTATCCATTCATCCTCATCATTATTATATTGATTTCTACCCCCGAAGGAGAATCAAAGCGGCTTCACATCAAAGCGTCAATCAGCCCACCATCTAAAATAGACACATTATCATCATCATCATTGTTGTCATATCCACATTATTGCCGGCAGGACTGAAGACCGACAGGTCGCAGGTTCAAATCAGGGGAGAGGCGGGTGAGCTCCCTCTATCAGCTCCAGCTCCTCATGCGGGGACATGAAAGAAGCGTCCCACAAGGATGATAAAACATCAAAAAAATCATCCGGGCGTCCCCTGGGCAACGTCCTTGCAGACGGCCAATTCTCTCACAACAGGATGCTCCTGACACGACAAAAAAACCCCAAAAAACATTATTATCATTATATCAACATTGTTTTTTTATTATCATTATTATTACATTATCACTATAATTATTATAATATTATATTTATCATTATTGTGATCATTATTATGATATTGATCTTTATTTCTACCTGCCAAAGGAAACTCAAAGCAGCTTAGCACCAAAGCGTCAAACAGCCAGTCAGCCTACAATTTAAAATAAGCAATTCATATTATTAAATAAAATTTTAAAAACTTTATAACACTCCTTATGTCCCCTAAAGGTATTATCATTACCATTATATCAATGTCATTATATTATTAAGACTATCTGGATGGATGGCCATCTGTTGGGGGTGCTTTGAATACAATTTTCCTGCTTCTTGGTAGGAATGGCCTACGACAGGGGTCCTCAAACTATTTAAAGAGAGGGCCAGGTCACAGTCCCTCAAAGTGTTGGAGGGCCTGATTATCATTTGGAAAAAAAATGAATGAATTCTTATGCACGCTGCACATATCTTATTTATAGTGCTATAACACTTAAAAACAATACAATAATTAAAATGAAGAACAATTTTAACAAATATAAACTTATTAGTATTTCATTGGGACGTGTGGGCCTGCTTTTGGCTAATGAGATAGGGTTGTTGTTGTTGTTGTTGTCGTGGTGGTGTTGTTTCAAGTCATTTCATACCTAGGTTGACCCTGAGCAAGGGCCAGGTAAATGACCTTGGAGGGCCGTATCCGGCCCCCGGGCCGTAGTTTGAGGACCTCTGACCTGCAAGGTCTCTTCCAACTCTGGGATTCTATCATTCGATGATGATGATTATTATTATTATCATCATATCATCACTACCATTATTATTATTATTATTATTATTATTATTATCATCAATTTGTTATTATTTTATTTATTTCTACCCCTGCAAGAGACTCAAAGTGGCTTAAAAGCATCAGCTTACAATTTAAACTATGCTATTATTATCAATATTATTGTTGTTGTTACTATATTTCTACCCCCAAAGCAGCTTTAACATAAAAGCATCAATCAACCTACAGTTTAGAATAGATTGTTATTAGTATTTGTATTATTAGATCCTGTTCAACAGGTGAGTGTGGTTGGGGGCAAAGAAGGGAAGGGGATGCGCAGCCCTCGGCCAAGAAGTCCTTGGAAGTGTTATTGACAGGAAAGGATGCTAATGGAGGGTCCCCCAGAGGTCCTCCAGGTGTTCCCCCCTTGCTTTGCATGTATCGAGAGCAGAGGAGTGGTAAGCCTCTAAAAATATGGCAACCTTGGCCTCTAGATCAGAGATAGACTACCATCTGCCATAATGCAGCCTCTTAAGAGCAGAGGAGCACTATACCACCAAGGAATGTGGCAACCTTAGACTCTAAGCCCCATTCGTCAGGAGGAATGGGTCAGAGATAGAGTGCCACTTACTATAGTGGGTCATAGAGGTGCCACTATCGTGTGTTAAGAGCGGAGGAGTGCTAGTCCTCCAAAAACATCGCAACCTTGGCCTCTAAGCCCCATCTTTGGGGGGAAATGGGTCAGATAGACTATCATTTGCTATAATGTGGCCTCTTAAGAGGAGGAGCACTAACCCCATCTTTGGTGAGAAATGAGTTGGAGATAGACTACGGTAGAACATCTTTATTCATGACTTAGATGAAGGGCTAGAAGGCATGATCATCAAGTTTGCAGACGACACCAAATTGGGAGGGGTAGCCAGTACTCCAGAGGACAGGAGCAGGATTCAAAACGATCTTGACAGATTAGAGAGATGGGCCAAAACTAACAAAATGAAGTTCAACAGGGACAAATGCAAGATACTCCACTTAGGCAGAAAAAACGAAATGCAAAGATACAGAATGGGGGAATGCCTGGCTTGAGAGCAGTACGTGTGAAAAAGATCTTGGAGTCCTCGTGGACAACAAGTTAAACATGAACCAACAATGTGATGTGGCGGCAAAAAAAGCCAATGGGATTTTGGCCTGCATCAATAGGAGCATAGTGTCTAGATCTAGGGAAGTAATGCTACCCCTCTATTCTGCTTTGGTTAGACCACACCTGGAATATTGTGTCCAATTCTGGGCACCACAATTCAAGAGAGATATTGACAAGCTGGAATGTGTCCAGACAAGGGCGACTAAAATGATCAAGGGTCTGGAGAACAAGCCCTATGAGGAGCGGCTTAAGGAGCTGGGCATGTTTAGCCTGAAGAAGAGAAGGCTGAGAGGAGATATGATAGCCATGTATAAATATGTGAGAGGAAGCCACAGGGAGGAGGGAGCAAGCTTGTTTTCTGCTTCCCTGGAGACTAGGACGCGGAACAATTGCTTCAAACTACAAGAGAGGAGATTCCATCTGAACATTAGGAAGAACTTCCTGACTGTGAGAGCTGTTCAGCAGTGGAACTCTCTGCCCCGGAGTGTGGTGGAGGCTCCTTCTTTGGAAGCTTTTAAACAGAGGCTGGATGGCCATCTGTCAGGGGTGATTTGAATGCAATATTCCTGCTTCTTGGCAGGGGGTTGGACTGGATGGCCCAACTCTTTGATTCTATGATTCTACCGGCTGCCTTAATGGGCCATAGAGGTGTATTAAGAGTGGAGGAGCAACTTTGGACTCTTGGTCAGAGATTTGCTACAGTGTGGGATCTTAAGAGCGGAGAAGTGCGAAATCTCCAAGAACGTGGCAACCTTGGCCCCTAGGTCAGAAATAGACTACCATCTGCTCTAATGCGACAGAGAGATGTCACCATCTTGAATTAAGAGCGGAGGAGCACTAAACCTCCCCATTTTGGGGAGAAAGGGGTTAGAGGTAGACTACCCCTATAATGAGTCATATTGGGGCTGCCGTTGTGTGTTAAGAGCGGAGGAGCAATAAAGCTCCAAAAACGTGGCAGCTTCAAGGGGATTTACCTTCTTCTAT